TCTCTCTCTCTCTCTCTCTCTCTCTCTCAGAGCACACATGCAAGGCCAAGCCTTAGGATCAACCAGTGTAGGGTGTAACATCCCACAACCATCCTCTAAACCTAAAGAGAACCCCAAAATGCCTCATTAGTGTCTCAAGAAATCTTCCTCAAAAGATTCTTCAACCCACATCCCAAACAAGTGAGAACCATACTGTTTGTAGACGGGTCAAGCATAATGTTGAACTTCATTCCAAGGAAATCCCTAATGTGTCTCAACGTCTGTATAGCATAAGGCGAAAGCTTCCCCACCCGAACCTTTGAAATATCTTGTGGGCATAAAGCACACAAAAGGAATAGTAAAGCCAGAAAATCCATACCCATAAGCAAACTTAAACACTTTCCATACTCAATAAAATTAAAAAAAGGGTGCATATATTTATACATCTATATATATAGGAGAAAGAGAGAGAGAGAGAGAGAGAGCGAGAGGGAGGGTGGGATGGCTCAATCTAGAGTCAAATGGTGAGTTGAGTCCCCAACCCTTCCCCACCTTTGTAGCTTTCTTCAAACAGCAGTGCGTGTGTGTGTGCGATCTCGCGTACATATATGTCTTTGAGAGAGAGAGAGAGAGAGAATTCAATGCGCAATCTAAGCACACCAATTGTGTGGAGTCCACAACCCCACCTTGCTTTATTTCTTCAAGAAGCAAAGAAGTGGCTCGGATGCTAATATCTTTAGGAAGCATTCGAGCAGGTTTCTCATCAGATGTTTCCATGTCCTTAGCATCTCCATCTCTAAAGAAACATGTTGAGGCTTCTGCAGAAATAAAACAACTAGATGTGGTCTCTGCAACTAATAAGATATCATAACCAGGGGATCTGCAACCAAAAAATCTCTCTTCAAAATCCAGGCCAATATTTGACAAATTTTAGACAAACATTCGAAAAGAATTTAACAAGTTATATTGTAGCCCATCCAGAATTAGTAGTAGTTCATAAACAAAGATGGACAATTTTCTTTTGTATTTTCATGTGTAGAGAAAAGTGAATAACAAGGTTGACACCCCAACTCGGAGTAGGCAGGAAAACCCTCTCCATTGGAAAAACCTTTATAACCCCTTTTTTGTTCTTTCCCTGCATATGATCATTAGGTTACCAGAAGTGCAAGTTTGTGAGTTCTTGTATTTTCTTACTGATCAAGGAGACCGAGGAATCTTTCATGCAAATTCTTTGTAATGATATTGTAAAAAAGAAGCGGCATGTAGAGAAAAGTCTTCTAATACTTTACAAGAGAAAAGATGGTAAAAGAGAAATACCGAAATATCAAAAAGGAACGCATTCGCACGGACCCCACAAATTTGATAAAATGTTCTGCAATTATAAGAAAAACTAGAGTATTTATTATATTTACAATGCACAAGACACGCATGGAGAAATAACACACCATAGGAGTAACATCATTTAACTCCAGAGATGTGCAACTTGAAAAATTGTCTTAAAGTGAAAACCACATGCAGTGTTAAAAAACTCGCTTCAAAAAACTCGCTTCCAATTTTTCCAACTCGACCGAGTCATGTCAACTCTCAAGGTCTCAGTTTTATTATCAGAAGATGGGGCTCGGCAGAGTTTTCTTATAAATTAAATGTAGGGGAAGCATTTTGACCTTAGTTTTTGTTACAATATGTGTTTTCCTCTTTATCCGAACCAAAATAAGGAAGTATATTTCATCTCAATTTGAGTCCTGCTTTTAAAGCAGAAATTTGCTTTAACATTGAAAAACGGTAACTTTATCTGCAAATTGAGAAACCAAGATAACTTTACTTGGTTTTGGTTGTAACTAGTGCCATCACCTGCCTAAGCGAGCAGCCTAGGCCCTTGTGCGGGTGAATTTTTTATTGTTGTTATTCAATGAAAACCATACCCTTAGCTATATTACTTTTGTTAATAATTCATGCTTGGCTCTATCGCCATAAGAAAAATTTCTTGGTATCCCCAAATCTAAATCAAGCAGAAATTCATTCGATGTGGAGAACAATCGGCAACAAACATTTACAAGACAAAATGCCCCTTACTACGTTTGACTCAAATTGGAACATTCACTATGAGCGTGGTACACCTTTATCCATAGTTATCAAGGCCGGATTAGACCACGCAGTCCAACTAGTTGGATTGCCAATCAGTGCTTTGGATGGTCCGATATAAAGTAAAAGCTAGGATTGCGGTAACCAATAAAATCAATGTTTTAACAGGTTTTGACAGATTAGATCGGCAAATTTGGACTAGTTAGATTGGTTAAACAAAATTGAGTATTTTTTCTTTGTAATATATTTTTATGTTTTTAAACTATTATTCTTATTTGTTCTTTATTTTATGAAAATATAGTATAACTGGTTCGACCGCCCTTTGGTTAGACCAGGCCGCTCAACAGTTCGACAGCTAGTCTGATCTAGATAACATTACCTTTAACTATTATCATGAGAAACAATTTTCCAGTTTCCCTTAATCATTATTAAGTGGTAATAAATCTGATAGCACAATTCTAGGCATCAACAACTAAGATAACCAAATACCAATTACTATCTAACCATAGTGAAAAATTCACCTCCAACATACTACACCTTTACACAGTTACAGACATGATGACTTTTAACAAATTGATGTTGATCATTCCCCATGCACGTGCACTAAAGAATAGTGATTACACCTTTTTGGACTAGTAAAATAAGACTTATTATTAGCTATGAAAGATGAAAAAAGCAACACACTTTCCTAAAAGTTGAGCTGAAAGATGACCATCACGAATATTGACATCAGGCAATAGCCAATTGAAAATTCCACAAGCTGCATATCGCATGCGGTGCACCATCTCAGGAGATACCCTTGTTGTGTAGGCTATTCCTCTAATGCGTTTGACCATTCCTTCATCAACCAAGTGAACTGCCTGGAAGCAGAAATCTTTTCAATGGACAGAATGCAACACATAAAAAGGCAACAAATATACTCTTAGGAAAAAATCGAAAAAGAAAATCTAAAAGCATCATCTCAGTTCTTGCTTGATAATAGCAAAACAGCAGGACTTATCCTGAAAACAAAAAAGGGCCGGACTTACAAATAAACTATTTTGGATTATTGGAACCTTTAAGCACACTTCACCACCACCCTCAGGAGGAGATCCACGGCTTATGATTTTAAGTTCCAGTTCTCTAGGAACTCCAAAATGCTTTAGGATATGCAATGTAGTGGTTTGGAAAGTATCAACACATGGATCTTTGTGATCATAAGTAATTCCGACAAAAAAACTAAATGCACATTGAGATTCTAAGTAGAAAAACTTACAAGAAGCATATTAGATTAAGCGTGTGAAATGGGGCACAAGCAATGAGAAGCACACAAATACTGAATCAGTTCAAACAAGGGTTTCATGCGTTGTCTGTATCAATGAAAGCTCCTTTGAGTGTGATGTCTGCCATTGGTGAAGGTAACATTGAGATATCAACCATATATGTGTGTAAAACTAACAAAAAAAAGCAATGCGAAGAGCATTATCAACTATATTACCCAGAAATGCCTCTTCCACCAGCCGTTCAGAGTGCCGACATGTTCCAACATGGCAAAATGTGTCAGACATGACCAACATGTTAGTGAAATGGATAGTTGGCATGCCTGTCACGACCCCGCCCCCAACCTTGACCCCGACCCACACCCCTTTTTCGTACTCGACGTAGGATTCGTGATCTGGAGGTAGTGCATGTCACTCAAGTTAGAGTTGACTCAACGCCGTTATATCGGTAATCAAAGCGAACCATAGCAAAGAACTACATCAATTAATCTAATTGCAAATAAACATTTGAACTCTCGAGAAATCCATCCATCAATAAAATTGCAATACATAAAATTTCTTCCAAAAGGCATTACACTTAAGTCTGGGGTACCGGGCCCAATAATACATATTTTCAAAATAAAGAAAATTTAGGGCTAACTACTCGATCACATATAATATCAAAATTCTTCGTAGCAGAGTGTAGCCTCGACTTCCAAATGCGAACCTCACCCCTCTGACCTTTGACCTGCTCGCTGTCAATCTACAAAAGGGGAGATATAGTGAGATGAGCTATAAAGCCCAATAAGTGGATTTAGGTGCCATGCATCATAAGCGGTTCCTCAAATTATAAAAAAGCCATAATACAATGGTCGTGTACATCAGAAGTCAGGTCATAACATTAATATCAAGCAGCGTAATCAATGGTATCTATCATTCCATCGTTACAATTGTCAACATTTACAATCATAATTCAATCATTACCCACACTCTCCTTAGTTCACTTATTCCCAAAGTAGAAGCTCTATCTATTAGGCTAAGCTAATCCCATTGTTTAGGATCTCTTCCATCTCTCAAGAGGGAGGGCATTGACAAGTGGGTGAATCCACTTCGTAATGCCCTCATACTCACACACATAGCATCCAATGCGTCTTGGAGTTTTTGATAGGCACCTGCCTTGCAAGGCGTCAGTCACTAGTCACATCTCAGTAGATCTCAGGGGGTCCCATTTCACTTATCCCTATCTGCATCCTATCATACAATAAGTTAGGGGACAAAACCAGCATCACTTTTCTCAGTGTAATAGTATCCACTACTGATGGGTGTCCCATCACGTAAAGGCCAGTATCAGTATAATAGTATCTACTACTAATGGTCACGGCATCATATTACGCTCAAGCATTCAATTCCTTCACACCAAATCAGTACCTTATGACAGGTAATTCAATTTTCATTATACAAAGTGTGAGCCTTACTCAAAACTATTCATCAATCACATAACTTTATGACGTCTATCATGGAATACCCATGATATGAGGGCTATCATATTGCATTTACACTTAGAATTCAGCATTAGTATTACGACACTTGTCATGTAGCATATGTCATGGAACTATCACAGTAGTAGGTCATTCAAAAATTTTCACGTAACGCATAACTGCATAATATTATTCACATAACATGATGGCCATTAATATTCATCACATGAAATTATCATTCCAGTAGCAGACGTTGCTCATGTGCAATGATCCATCCGCGGCTACCCGCACAACGTTACACACCCGACTTTGCACAGGTGGCATTTCGCATGCGGTGTTTCACAAATAGCAATATGCGCACGAGGTTTCACAGCGGCGATATGCACACGGCTTTTCACAGCGGCGATAAGCGCACAACGTTTCGCTGCGACCACACGCGCACAATGTTTCATAATGGTGCTACACGCACGATGTTTCACAGTGGTGACACGCACATGGCATTTCACAGTGATACGCGCATGGCCTTTCACAGTGGTGATACGCGCACGACATTTCATAGCAATGATACTCGCACGGCGTTTCAACGCAAGGTGAGTGACAGTGGCTAGAACCTCCATTTACTGTAAACAGCGGTATGCCCCCCCCTCGCTTCAGGCATAACTCTTGATCTATGCAAAGCCTTACCATGGCACAATGTAAGGACCCACACTTTTTCTAGCGATGGGGAACGTGGCAATGAGAGTCGTGCGACGATGAGTCGTGCGACGATAGGTCATGCGGCGATGGGGCGTGCAGCAGAGTAAGCACGCACGACGATAGTGTACGCGAAGGAGAGTAAGTGCGCACAACGATAGTGCTTGCGAAGGAGAGTAAGCATGCACAGAGATAGTGCACGCGAAGGAGAGTAAGCGCACACGACGATAGTCCACGCGAAGGAGAGTAAGTGTGTGGCGAGAAGGCACGCAGTGAAGGGTGTGCGACGAGAGGGCACGCATGAAGGACGTACACCACCTATCATGCTCTAGATGCTAAAAGAAACACCTATGTGATCTTTTACAGGAGAATACTTTTTTTTTTTTTCTTCACCCTATCACTTACATGTGGTCTTTATTATAATAAGATAAATTTTAAAATAAAATCAACATAACAATAAAACCAAGATCTTAACAACTTGATGCCATTGAAACAACTATGAACTATGCTTGAGAATAAAAGATAATATTGCAAGAGACAAAAGGAAGAGTGCCAGAGATTACCTCAACCGGGCTTATTACACCCCACACTGAGTCACCACCATCCGATGGTGCGGGATCGACTGTCTAGCTTCAATCTCGAACTGAGAAAGCAAATTTCGGCCTAGCCACACCAATAGAATATGAACCCTTTTGATCACAAACTCAAACCCTAGGTGAATTCTCTTAGCAACCTAGTTTGAGAGAGATGGATTTTCTTTTTGCTAATCCCTAAGACCCTTAGCCATACATCCATATTTGAGAGATAGGAGAGAAGAACTCCTTAACATAAACTCTTAGATTCTTTCACAATGTGGGAGAGAGATCAAACTTGAGAGAGATAAACTTTCTTAAGAGAGAGAGATAGAAAGATAAGGTGTAGAGATTTTTTTGGTAGAGACAATCCATTTTTATAGGCTTTGAATAAGATTAGGGTTTTTTAGGGTTTTCTTTGGCTTGCCTCTTCTTGTGAGATTGAACATAAACCGTCAATCAAGGGTGACTTGTGGGGTGAGAGATCTGAGCCATCCATTCCATAGATGGGCCATCAATATTATGGAAGATGCATGAACCATTATCCCCATTTCCTAAACCATTTTCTCATCAATAGAAATTAAATAAATTAAATCTAATCAAAATAATGTGCATACCATAAAATAGCCCAAATCTACTCAATCTTTCCACAAAATCTTTTAAAGATATATCAAGTCAATATTTAGTCAATATCTTCCAACTATATGGTCACATGTCATATCACCAAAAAATAGAAAAGAGAATAAGGGTGGGGCGTGCCAACCAAGGGGCGCACTCATGGGCCCCACCTTCTAAAAATATGGCGGACCTATCTATACAATGGGCCCTCATGATATTTTTATATATTTAAAATTAATAAAAGGATTTTAGAATATTATTTGAATATTTAAACAATTGTAAAATCAATATCTTTAATTTTATAAATCCAAAAATTATAAATAAAATATCCAGGAGTTCATAAAAATTCAAATAATAACCTTAAAATAATTTTTATCATAAAACAAATACAATTAAATTAATTTGATGGGGAAAATGATCCATATGGTTTAAGAATAAACAATCATGAGGCACTCCACCTTCAACTGTGGACTATAGACTACAAACATCGTTTGCTTAGTATGGCCCACGGGGGACTATGCTCCCAATGAGTTCATGTTCCACTATATCATTTCATTTTACAAACACTAATAAGGCCTTTAAAGGCCACATGAACCCAACAGATGCCACTTGCTCAGCCTTGGCACCACGTGACAGTTACCCTACCTCTTGAGTACTTAAACCTCTCTCTCACCCATGCCACTTATTTTTCCTTTATCTCTCTCTCTAAGGTGAAAGTTTAGGGGAGCACTTGGCAAGCAGCCATTGTTGCAGGGAGTGTGAGCTGTGAAAGAAGAATATTTGAGAAGGCACCACAACTGTTCAAGTAAGTGGATTCCTCACCATTACATTGTAGCCATAAAGAATGTATGAACTTATATGCCTATGAAAAGAGTAAGAAAAGTGTATGTGATGTAGAAATTCCTTACGCCTTGTTCATTGAAATTGAGGTTTTCGTTCTTTGATAAAAGTGGATGCTGAGGATGAATGCATGATGCCTAAATTCTGTAGGAAATGCATGTTTGTGTGAGTATACTGTGAAAGAACAATTATTAGGATGTCTTTCTCTAAATATTGAATATTTTGGATCATGTTTATGAAGCATGTTACATATTACTGTGAAATTTCAGGAATATGTATGTACTTGAAGGAGGCTTTTGAACAGTCAAATGAGGTCTGATTGACCTTAAAACACTGGCAATGGAAAGATATGTTAGTCTAGTAATATGTTCGTTTTTACTCAATGTCGAAATTCTTTATAAAAATGAAGTCATATTTCGGAATGTATGTGTAGGTTACTGTCTGACTGTTTCTCTGGATTTTGCACAAACCCTGCGGTGGTCACTGATTTTCACTAAACAAATGAAATCCTTTTCTTGTAAAACCATAGCCGTTTAAAATATCTAGGAATGGGTTAAAAGTTGCATGTAGAAATTATTTTGAAATTCTTCTTGGATTGGAAGTTATATGTCTTTTTATGAAGAGATGTCACTGTGGACAGTTTCAATAAAAACCAGAACTAACACTTGATTTATCCCGAACTTTTGAACAACCAAATGAAGTTCAAATGCTTTCAAATTAGCCTTGTTAGAAAGATATATGTTTGGCTTGAACTTTGATTTTTGAAATTGTCCCAAACTCTTCACGGTTTAAGAGTTATAGTGATGCAAAGCTGGGTATCTTGTTGTTTCTTCTACACAACAGGGTACCATGAATAAACCCTCAACCTCTTGAACTTTTAAGAGGGCCAATGAGGCCCAATTGTTTTCAAACCACCCCCATTTGAATGATGGGTGTGACTAGTATAAAATTTGTGTTGGAACCATTTGTAAATTCCAAATGGATCAAATGTTATGATCTTAATTGTGGGTGCATGACGTTGCCTATAATTGTAGGAAATTGAGCTATAATATCCTTTCTTGTTTTGCCACCTATTGATCTAAATATCTTCATCTTAGCTACACTCATCCCATGGGTTTGTTGTTTCTTGACCACCCAACATTCCACCCCACAAAGCACAGCTGTTCTCACAGCTGTCCTATAGGATGTGGCCTTTAACTTCATTGGTTTACAATGATCATATAAAACTCTGGTTGCACATCTCCACTTCATTCATCCAGCTCTAATTCTATATGCGACATCTTCCTCAATCTATCCATTTTTATGGATTATCGATCCAAGATATCAAAATGCGCTCTTTTTGGAATTTCTTGGCCATCAATCTGAACTATTTCCTTGTTTATTTGACTCTTATTATTACTAAACTTACATTCCATATATTATGTCTTAATCAGGCTAATTTTAGAACCTTTAAATTCTAAAGCATTCCTTCAAAGTTTTAACTTTGTGTTGACGTTACTTCGGGTCATATTGATCAAAACTATGTCATCCGCAAACAACATACACCACGGTACCTCATCTTACATATACCTAGTTATATCATCCATAGTTATTCGCACACTAGTTAGCACTTCCTCATACATATCTCTCACCAAGTCGATGTAATATTTAAAGACTCCTTTTTTTTCCAACACCTGCCAAATTAAATCTCGATTTACTCTATCATAAGCTTTCTCTAGATCAATAAAGACCATGTGAAGGTCTTTTCCCTTTATCCTAAACTTCTCAATCAATTGCCTAAGTAGAAAAATAGCCTCAATTATTAACCTCTCTGGCATAAAACTGAATTGTTTTTCTGATACACTAATTTCATGCCTTAGTCATTGCTCAATCACTCTTTCCCACAACTTCATAATGTGGCTTATAAGTTTGATCCTTCAATAGTTTGCACAATTCTGCATGTCTTTGTTGTTCTTATAAATAGGTATTATAGTACTTTTCTTCCAATTCATCTAGCATTTTTTTGTTCTCAACGTCTTGTTGATTGGCTTGGTCAACCAATTAATACTGATCTCCCCCATGTACTGCCAAACCTCTATCGAAATACCATCTGGTCTTAAAGCCTTTCTTATCTTCATCCTCTTCAAACCTTCTTTCACATTCGATATCTTTATTTTACGAATGTATCTCTGACCTGCGCCTCATTTATGTCAATGGTTCATTCTATCGTTGTATTTCTATTGTGTTTATAATTTTTTTTTTTTAAAACAAGCTAAAAATATATAATTAAAAAAACAACCAAAGACTCTCTTTCTCTCCCACTTATTTCTCTGTCCCACCCTCTCTATCTATCTTCCTATTTTTTTCCTCCTCAATCCCACGTTTTCCCTATCTCTATCCCTCATTCTTTCTAAGTAAATCTACTTAAAATCTCTCTCAAATAATATTTTCTTTGATTTAGGAAACATCCAACAAGGCTCCCTCCTTATCCTCACACACAATCTCCTCCAACCTAGCTTATCCTCATGCACCACCTCCTAATTCCTAAGAAAAAAACAACTACATCATTAAAATTTTGAATTATCTTTTTTTTTTGGCATCACCTCCCTCCCTCCCTCCCTTCCTAGATATCCAAAGTTTATCTTCCATGCGTTCATAGCAATCATACAAACACATAACAAAGTTTCATTTAGCTCAAGAACAGAAAGCTAAGAGAGGCTCCAATTACATTGAGAGCCTTTCTTTCTAATTTAAATGAAACTATACAAAGTGCATGTCTCCACTTTCATTAGAAAAATAAAAAAACTCTCTCAATTATTCTCTCATATGACTAAAACTTTGGCCAAAATGCACAACGAAAAACTTTTTTTCTTTTTCTCATATTTGAGAGGTTATCGAGGGTAGGAACGGAACCCTTGACATCACGTTGTGACCCCATCACCCTAACCACCAATGCTAAGGACCCACTTCTACGTCAAACTCAATCATTCTATACAGACAACTTCCAAATCCCTTTTTATCCTTTAAAAGCATTGACGACCCAAACGGATGGAACTTTAATAAGGAGTTTTAAATATTTTATATTTAATAAAAGGTGCGGTTTGTATAGAGCCGAGGCTCTAAACAATCAAATTAGAGCCCACCTTCAAATGGTGTTGAAAAATGTGGTTTCAATACTGAAAATCTCTGTGATAGCCTTAAAATATATTTTCATCTTTATTTATAAAATTTAAAGCTTCAAAAATAGTGTTGATCGAGCAGATCTATGAAAACTTGAATAACTTAAAAATTCACAGCCCAAAAAAGCGTTACAAGATGTACTATTTCCAAAACTTGAAATCCATTTTTTTTCCCAAGTCCATGCATCTTGTTGTCGAGATGATAAAATTGAGAATATGTGGGCATCAAAACAACATCTTGTAGTGAAATTTTTTAGGTGGGCTCTAATTTGATTGTTTAGAGCCTACGCTCTATATAAATTTATCCCATAGAAATTTTATGGACGTTTTGGCGTGTCTTGATTTCCATCTCCATGTCTAACCCTTTGAAGTGTTTGATAAAATAAAAATTGTATGGGGTTATGGACGTTTCATTAGGACGTGTTTGATGTCTTTTTGGAAGTTGGAACTTATTAATACGGTTCATGTTTCATGATAAAAAAGTGGAGTGGAAGGTCAAATGGGAACTTAACAGTACTGTTCATATTCTTGTATCGCGTGAGAAAAAGTTCCGATCTAAAGGTCGGAACTTCAATTTGGAACTTCGTTTTAGAACTTCACTCCCGAACCCTAGTTGTTCTTTTTCTCTTCTCTTCGTTCCCATCTTCCTACTTCAGCCGGTGAGCGCCCCTCTCTTCGCAGCAAGACCCCTCTGTTCAGTTCTTCGCGTTGAGGCGCTGAGTCACCCCTCTCCGCAGCACGCCATTATCTCAGGCTGACTCCTCTCTTCACACGCAACCGTCGTTAGGGTTTACTCAGCTGTTCTGTAGCTCTGATCCTTGTTATTGATCTTAAGGTATGTTATTGACTCTTATTCTCTCCGTGTTATTGACCTCTGTGTTTGTTCTTGAGCTCGTGAAGCCAAGAACTCTTATTCTCTTTGTGTTATTGATCTCTGTGTTCTTGAGCTCTTGAAGCAAATAGCTCTTATTCTCTCTGTGTTATTGATCTAGAGGTATGTTATTGACTCTGATTTTCTTCATCTTCTCTCTATCGCTTCTTTGAGCTCTGATCCTTCCTATTGAGCTCTGATATGTGTTCTTCGTCTTTCTCGAGGTATTTGCCTCTGACTGCCCTAACCACGGAGAATAGTATTGATGTGTTTTATTTAATAAAGTCAGAGTGAATAGCATACCTTTTATTTCTGATTCTACAGATTTTTCGCAACAGCCCAATAGATCAGAGGTCACGTACAAAAAAAATAGAGCTCAGTTACAAACTGATTATTCAAACAGTTTGTAATAAAATCTGAGTCTTTTTTTATTGTGTTTATTTGGCAATTTTACATATTTCACAACAGCCCAATTGATCAGAGCTCAATTACAAAAAAAATAGAGCTCAGTTACAAACTGATTATTCAAACAGTTTGTAATAAAATCTGAGTCCTTTTTTTTTTGTGTTTCTTTGGCGATTTTACAGATTTTTCGCAACAACCCAATAGATCAGAGCTCAGTTACAAAAAAATAGAGCTTAGTTACAAACTGATTATTTAAACAGTTTGTAATAAAATCTGAGTCTTTTTTTTTCGTGTTCTAGTTGGTGATTTTACAGATTTTTCACAACAACCCAATAGATCAGAGCTCAGTTACAAAAAAATAGAGCTCAGTTACAAATTGATTATTCAAACAGTTTGTACTAAATCTGAGTTTCCTTTTTTTTTTTTTTTTTTTTTTTTTTTTTGTGTTTATTGGCTCATTGGGGTTACTCAAAATAGACTTTGATGAGTTGATTAAGATTTTTATGAGTTGCAAAGGGTGAGTTCCTTCTCCTGAGCCCCATTTTCAAACATTGGGTAAAGCAAAGTGATTCGGTTTTGTGAAATTTGTTAATAGATTGCATCTTACTCGAGTTGGGCATTTCATGTTTTTCTTCTTGGCATATTTTGAGTTAATTTGCAGCATGTGTATTAAAATTAAAGGTTCTTGGCATGATTGCATCTTACTGAGTTATTTTGAGTTCCTTCTTGACATGATTGCATCTTACTGGGTGATTAGGGGTTCTTGGTGTTCATTTTTGTCCTTTTTTTTTTTTTCTTATTCGTTCTTGTAAAGTAGCCAAATAAGGATTCTACTTACGGTGACTTTAGTTCGATTGTTTTGAATAAATAAATTGAATATACGATTGGTTTCAGGAAGATGACAGACTGATATATTTTTAATTGGTTTCTGTGAGGTTTGTGTTTCTTGGTTCTTGGCTATTTGAGCCGTTTTGGTTATTTCAATTCCTTCTTATTTAATATTTTTGTTACTAGTCTATGATTATTTGATTTGATCCTTTCTAGCTGGAGTTTATCATTTTCGTTCTTTTGCTTTTCAACTTCTGGAATTTGCTTTTTTGAGTTGTTCCAACAATGACTTCAGCAAAGTGTTAACAAAACAAAGAGATAAAAAATACTGAAAAAGCAGCAAATGAATGCAACTTGTGGCTATTTTTTATGTTTTTTGAAAAACTACTAGAGTTTCTCAATGCAATGCATATGGTGTGGGAGTTTTTTTCATGAGTAGATAACTATATGAATATTACTTTTTTGTTATTTTTTATGCTTGGGTTTGTTGAATTTTACTTAGCTCAAATTATAAATGCTGTAGCTAGCATGCTCTTTTTGTTACCTTTCTTTTTTTAATGAATAATGCTTATGGGTTCATGGAATCTGATATATTTTTTCTAAGATATACAACTATGATGTGGACTTGTTTATATCTTTTTGTGCAAACAAGATGTGCATGAATTACCAACATTTTCATATTCTTATTACTTTTGGTTATTTTGTATTTGGGTTTTTGACTATGTTCTCTGTGATATAGTGCTAATCTTGCTTCCTATTTGTGAATAAAATGCTGAATTTACTGGAATTGAGAAAAATCTTGCTTACTTTTTTGTGATTTTTGTTTTTGGGTTTGTTGAGTTTTACTTGGCTCCAATTATGAATGCTGTAGCTACCATGCTCATTTTGTTACCTTTCTTTTTTAAGAATAATGCTTATGGGTTCATGAAATCTGATATATTTTTCCTAAGATATACACCTATGATGTGGGTTTGTTTATATCTTTTTATGCAAACAAGAAATGCATGAATTACCAACATTTTCATTTTCTTATTACAGCTGTGATGATGTGGGCATTTTCATTTATGTATGTTTAAACTATTACAGGTTATTGTTGAATGGGCTGGTTTTGTACATGGTTATATATGGATGCATGAATTGTGAATGTTGCTTGACATGCATCACAAATGTCTTAACAGATAACATACAAATGTTTGGTGCCATTATAATCTTAGAGAGAGAGAGAGAGAACACACAAATGTTGTGTGCATGGCTTGTGAATGCAGTATATTTTTGAATTGTGGGTGACATATATTTTTTAGGTTGGGATATGGATGCATCAGTGTTGAATGTAAGTAGTGCTCAAATTATTACAGGTTATTGTTGAATGGGCTGATTTTTGCTGCTTGCATTGTGCATGTGTGTTTGAATGGGTTGATTTCTTACTAGTTGCATTTTCAATTAGGTATGTTTAAACTATTATAGGTTATTGTTGAATGGGCGGGTTTTGTACATGGGTATATATGGATGCATGAATTGTGAATGTTACTTGACATGCATCACAAATGTCTTAACAAACATACAAATGTGG